CCCCCCCCCCCCGCCACGGCTCCTCTCGAAGCTGTTGCCAAGACCCTCAAGACCTTCAGAACCAGAACTGGGCGGTCATCAGGATGGCCACCCTTCCATTTGGAAGCAAACATCAGATCCTTACCCCGCCCCTTGTGTCCAGAAAGGGTCTTAAGCCCATAGGCCAACTCCGCCAGCCCCTGCGTGCCAGGACGCTCTAGCAGGATACCGGTGCTTTGCCAAATGCCCCCCCTGCTGCACCTCTTCCCCAGGTTCCTATAAGTATAAATGTATGTATGTATGATAGCTACTCCCCGCTGTTCCCTGTCTCCATGACTCGCCAGCGGATGATGGGGTCAGACTGCATTTTCTCACATCTGCGTTCTGGAAGAGGGGTGGGCTGAGAGGGTCTACATTGGAGACCTGGCCTGGCTCAGCCCCACTCCCCGACATCTGTTCTCACCCCAGGCTGCCCTGCCTCCCTCCCACAGCCCCAGCCCCAGCCCCAGCTCCAGCCCCAGCCGCCACTCACCACAAGCTCCTTTGCGTTCAGCTTGTTGATGATGGCTCGGATCACCTCGGGGGGTGCAGGGGACCCAGCGATCACACCTGAATCAGAGAGAGGGCTGACACGGCTCGCTGCTTCTCCAGGCCCAGTGGACCCCCTGCACCTGCAGCTCTTTCTAGGGAAGAACTTACCCTTCTCTTCCCTGCCCCTGGACCTGTTCCTACACTTGGCATCTGGCCTTGGGCTGGCGTCCAGGTGGCTGGGACATTGCCTCCCTTCCACCCACATTTCTACAGTGACCTTTTCGCCCCCTGAGTAAAGGACTGGGTGCACATCTAGCTCATCCAGGCCAATCCTGGCCTGACCACCCTTGGCCCCATCCCACCTCCACGCATGGTTGAGATGTCGTAACTGGAGAAGTCTGGCTGGTTCAGAATGTCCACGAACATTGTGGGGGTGCCATACAGGAAGGAGCCTCTGTATAAGGGGGGGTGGCATCTCAAAATAAGGCTTGGATGCAGAAGGAAACCCCCTCTTTTCACCCACCCACCGTGAACATATAGTAAGGGCCAAGGCTGCCACTGAGGGGAACAGGCAGGAGTTCTTTGGAGGCAGGAACTGATGCTCTCCTGGGGTGCCCCACGACCCTGTCGCCCTGTCTCCTGGTGGGAGGGAGGAGACATCCTGGAGAGGGATCAGGGCCCAGGAGTGAGGAATAGGGGGGGTCTCATGAGCCAGCAGGTAGCTGCCCACTGATGCCCACCTCTCTTTGCTGACGGCCTCCAGCGCCTTCTTGCCATCAAAAATCGGAGAGGACAGGATGAGGGTGACACCGTGCATCATGCTCACCATTGTGCCCCCCACAGAACCCAGGCAGTGGTACAGCGGGGTGGGCAGGATCACCCTCGACTCCTCTGGTGTCTGGAGATGGAGGCAGGAGCTAGGTCTATCCTGGAGCCCAAAGCCCCAGAAGCTAGTTCCTCTAGCCAGCAGGGGGAGCCCAGCAAGACCCCCACCCATGCAGGGTGCCCGCAAGCCTTAGCCAGCACCCCCTCACCTTCAGGTGCAGTTTCATGCGCTCCCCTATGATGTTGGCATTGTTGACAATGTTGTAGTGGGAAAGGGTGGCCCCCTTGGGGCTTCCTGTCGTTCCCTGATAAGACAAACAGGTGACACTTGGCCTCTTGCTCCCCATCTCCTTCATGCCCTAGGCCGCTGCACGGACAAGCTCTGGACTGGGGGTCAGGAGACTGGGATCCATTCATTCACTCAATACGTGTTCACAAAGGTTTTTACCACACACCTGCGTGGTGCCAGGTGTTAGGGTCCAGAAACAGGAAAGATAAGATTTCCGTCCGCCATGCCACCCAAGCGGCTTAGAGAACCCTGTGGCCCAGCAGCAGACTCGGCTTCTGGGCCTCAGTTTCCCCATCTGCTAAATGAGGGGGCCGGCTCTCCCTGTGCACCTGCCCCTGGGCCGGGGACAAGCGGGCCAGGGGAGGGGGCCATGTGACAAGGGCTCCAGTCGCTGATGTTCTCCAGGGCAGAGAGGACAGCTGGGGCGAGCCCCAGGAGAAGAGCGGCCGCACTCCTGGCGTCCTTCGGGTGCCCTCCTTCTCGGGGAAGGGTCACGGGGGCAGGCAGGGGTGAGCGTGCCAGCCTGGGCTCCGCGCTGACGACCTCTGCCTTACCGAGGTGAACTGGATGTTGACGGGGTCGTGGCAGGACAGGAACAGCTTGGCGTGCCGGAGCTCGGCCATATTCTGCTCTTTGCTTCCCGCTGCTACCACATCGTCCAGGAGCAGGGTCCCTGGCATAGGGGTGTCCACCGAGATGACAGTGGTCAGGTCTGGGAGCCTGGGGGGAGGGAGGATGAGAGAGTCGGGGGCTGAGGACGGGCCCACAGAGACACCAGCCTCCTCCCTGGGGGTGGGGAGGGACGGAGGAGGCTGGGATGCCCCAGGACACACTCATCCGAACCCGGGACGTCCCACCTCTGACTCCTCAAGAACCCCGGGGGGGCCTTCTCCAGCTCCGGACAGATGTGCTTCAGGATGTTGTAGTACTGCTGGGTCTTGAATTGCTTGGGGAACGCCAGGGCTTTGCAGCCCACCTGTGGGAG